CCCCCCCCCCCTCCTCCCTGCCCGCCAGTTTCGCTTTCACGCCATCTGCCCTGGGTCCCTCTTTGCCGGCTTGAGCCTCGCCTCCTCCTCCCCCCTCCCCCTCCCCCCTCCCACCGGCCGCCCGTCAGCGCCCGCCCGCCTCGGTTGACTCTTTCGGTCAGGTACTTCCGCGCTGCGGTGTCTTTCTCTCTCTCTCTCTCTCTCTCTCCCTCGCGGGGAGCCACCTTCCTTTGCTGCCGACCCTGACGCCCTCCGCTCTCGTCCCTCCCCCGCGCCCCCTCGTCGCGCAGTTCCCCGGCCCCCGCAGTCGCCCGCGAAGATGTCCTACAACTTCAAGAAGATCCAGGTCGTCCCCTCCTCGACGGACTTTGTGGACATTGTCCTGTCGAAGACCCAGCGCAAGACGCCGACCGTCATCCACAAGGGCTACGCCATCTCGCGTATCCGTAACTTCTACATCCGCAAGTGCAAGTTCTCGCAGCAGACCTTCCACGACAAGCTGAGCCAGATCCTGGCGGACTTCCCCCAGCTGGACGTGCGTGCCGGTGCTCCTGCCCCTGCCGCGGTCTCGGTTTTTTTTTGCAAGTGCTGACCCGCTTTCTTGCTCGGCTGCCCTCCCCCTTCCTTTTCCCTCTCCCCCTTCCTTTTCCCCCTCCCCTTCTCCCCTTCTCCCCTTCTCCCCCTCGCTCCAATAGGATGTCCACCCGTTCTACGGCGACCTGATGAACGTCCTCTACGACCGTGATCACTACAAGCTGGCCCTCGGTCAGATCAACGCCGCCCGCCAGCAGGTCGACAACATCGCCAAGGACTACCTGCGTCTGCTCAAGTATGGTGACTCGCTGTACCGCTGTAAGCAGCTGAAGCGCGCTTGCCTGGGTCGGTGCGTTCTCCTGCCGGCCGGCCGACCGCCGCCCCGGGGGCGAGAGGGCCCCCCCCCCCTTTCCCCCTTCCTCGCCTCGCCGCGCTGCACCCCCTCCGCCCCCACGGCTCCTTCCTCACTCTCTCCCCGCCTTCCCCCCCCTCCCCCTCCTCCTCCCTGGCCCCAGGCCCCCGAGGACAAGGACGATCGCCGGCAGCTTCACAAGGCCGTGCGTGATGCCCTCCCCCGGCTGGAGACCTCTTTCGTCCGGCCCGGCGAGCGTGGGTATCCGGCTGCCCCGGTCGACTCGGCCGATGCCGCTCCTGCCCCGACCGACACCATGATCGCTGTGTCGGTGGCCAAGTTCGTGCAGGGCCAGCGGTCGCGTCGCTCGACCCGACGGGGTCGAGCGGTTGCTTACTGGCCGGCAGCCTCCTCCGGTCTGTATTGTTGTTATTTTTTTTGAGGCCGCACAATGAAGGAGGCCTCTCCAATGGATGGAGGGTGTGTCAGTTTCTCTTGGAGCCATCGGTGCCATTTGCGCCGGGCGGCGGCCGCAGCCGGAATGGCCCGTGCTTCCAAGCCCGACCCCCCCCCCCCCCCCCCCCCCCCCCCCCCACTCGCAGCATGTGCACCCTCATGGCCCGGCTCAAGGACACCCTGGCCTACCTGGAGCAGGTCCGCCAGCATCTGGCCCGTCTGCCCTCCATCGACCCCAACACCCGTACCCTGCTGATCACCGGGTACCCGAACGTCGGGAAGTCCTCCTTCATGAACAAGGTCACTCGCGCCGATGTGGAGGTCCAGCCGTACGCCTTCACCACCAAGTCCCTCTTCGTGGGCCACATGGACTATCGGTACCTGCGCTGGCAGGTGATCGACTCGCCGGGAATCCTGGACCACCCGCTGGAGGACCGGAACACCATCGAGATGCAGTCGATCACCGCGCTGGCCCATCTGCGCTGCTGTGTGCTCTTCTTCATCGACGTGTCGGAGGATTGCGGCTACACCCTGGCCCAGCAGGTGGCCCTGTTCCATTCGATCCGGCCGCTGTTCACCAACAAGCCGGTGGTGCTGGTCCTGTCCAAGCTGGACCTCATGCGCTATGAGCAGCTCAGCGACGAGGGCAAGGCCCAGATCCAGACCTGCCTCGATACCGGGGCCACCATGGTCGAGGCGTCCACCCTGACCGAGGAGGGCGTCATGGATGTCAAGCAGACCGCCTGCGACAAGCTGCTGGCCATGCGCGTGGAGAACAAGCTCCGCAACAAGAAGGCCGAGGACATCACCTCGCGCCTGCACCTGGCCATGCCCACCAAGCGCGATGATGTCATCCGCATGCCCATCCGCCCGGAGGGGGAGATCGTCCCGTACGACCCGAAGGACCCGAACCGCGTGCTGCTGGCCAAGGACTACGAGCGCATGGGCGGCGGCGCCGGTGTCTACAATGTGGACCTGCGCGCGGACTACCTGCTCAAGAACCCGGAGTGGAAGTACGACGCCATCCCCGAAATCTGGGACGGCAAGAACATCATCGACTTCGTGGACCCGGACATCGAGGAGAAGCTCCTGGCTCTCGAGCGCGAGGAGGAGGCCCTCGAGGCGGCCGGTTTCTACGACGAGGACGAGGAGATCGAGGTGCGTGTGGGGTCTGGCTGTTGGGTTTCCGTGTGTGTGTGTGTGTGTGTGTGTGTGTGTGTGTGTGTGTGTGTGTGTGTGTGTGTGTGTGCCCTGCGGTCTTTCCTTCTTTGTGTTTTTTTGCCCCGGCTGTGTGTCCCCCCCCCCGCGGCCGGGGAGGGGGGCTGGCGCGAGGCGCGTGCCCCCCGCGTACATCCGGCACTCGGCCGACCCTAACAGTCTCTCCCCCTCCCGCCCCCCTGTCTTCCCCGTGCACACCCACACCCACACCCACAGGACGAGGAGCTCACTGCCAAGCGCGAGCTCGCGGCCCAGATCCGCGCCAAGAAGGACGTCCTCAAGCAGCGCAACCACATCAAGGCCATGTCGCGCCGCAACAAGGCCCCCATGCCCCGGACGAAGACCGCCGTCTCGGCCACCGAGTTCATCTCCACCATGCGCGAGCTGGGCCTGGACATCACCGACGTCAATGGCGGCGAGCGGACCTCCCGCCGGGAGCGCTCCAAGCGCATGCGCGACGGCGAGGAGGGCGGCTCCGACGCCGAGATGGCCGTCGACACCGACGGCCCGGCCGGCGGCCCGGCCAAGCGCTCCCGCTCCATGGTCCGCAGCGAGTCCCGCGCTCGCAGCCTTTCCATGCCGCGCGAGCCGTCGGCCATGGGTCTGCGCGACTCGCGCCAGGTCCTCCTGGCCGCCAACCAGATCAGCCAGTCCCAGCGCCGTCTCAAGACCGACGGTCGCCGCGGCGAGGCCGATCGCCACATCCCCACCAACATGCCGCGCCACATGTTCTCCGGCAAGCGCAAGCAGGGCACCAACGACCGCCGCTAATAAGGGGGCGGGCGAGAAAGGCCCGCGCGGGTGGCTTGTGTCCCCCTTTCCTCCCCCCTCCCCCCCCTCTCTCTCCGTTTCTCCCGCGTTCCCCCCGGCCTCCGCCGCCGGCCCTCCTCCTCCTGGGCTCCGTGCCGATGTGTGTCGCTTTCTGGTGGCCGTGTGGCGGCCGTCTGGCTCGCCCGGTTGTTCATCGATCCATCGCCGGCGCCCGGGGGGAGGGGCGGCCGGCAGCGACTCCGGGGGGCGCCCCCGGGGCCTCGGGGTGGTGGTGGTGGAACGGCGGGGGACGACACACGCCATGTCCTTGTCCTGTCTGCCTCGCTCTGCCTGCGTGCTGGGTCGGCGCGGCGCGCCGCGCCGCTGGGGCCCTTCTCCTCCTGTGCATGCGGCACTGGCCTGTGTTTGGCCTGCGCGCGCCTGGGCGGGGGGAGAAGAGGGCCTGGCCACTACTCGTCCGGGCGGGCATCCGCCCACGGCCGAGACGCTGGCGCGTGTCTGTGCATGCTCTCTGTCTCTGTCTCCCTTTCCCCTTGCTTCTCCCTCCCTCCTGTGTCATTCTTTCATAGATCATTGTAATATTATATACCTTCCCCAAAGAGCGCCGTCCGAAGAGGGGGGCGGGGGTTGGGCAGGGGACCGGCACCGGGGGCCAGGGGGGGCGTCACGCCCGGGGGCCGAAG